GAGAGAGAGAGAGAGCGACCGGCCTCGTTAGAGGCGCGAACGTTCCACGTGCGTGGCGGATATTAATTGGCAAATAACGAGACGTCGTGGACGAGAACGATGCCAGACCGGAGAGTAATAGAGCCGCGGTCGCGTGGCGATGTCGATGAACTCCGGGAACGCGCGTCTCCATTTTCCGCGCGGCGGGCTGCGAATCTCGCGAGATTTTAGGCAGGGGCGGAGGGGAGGGCGGTGACGGAAGGGGGGAAAAAAACCTCCCGGAGGAGAGACGCGATTTTATCGACGCTTGCGGCCAATGTAAGCGCGTTATTCGGAGAGAAGCTATTAATAAATATTCTATGCACGCGGTTATTATTTTATTCGATCCCGACGATCCTGGCGTGCGTTGCTCGGATATATATCCGAGGAGGGTGGGAGGAGGAGGGAGGAGAGAGAGAGAGTAAGTTTATCGCGTCGCGAGCAAGATTATGTGACGCGCGATTAGATTAATGCCCCGCTTGGCAGTGTCCGGACTTTCGCACGAGTCTTCACGTGCAATTAATTAATCCGATTCACGTGGACGCTTCTCTTTTTTTTACGGTTTATCTGTTATCATTAAGACGCGCTTTTTTTTCTTCCCTCCTACGCCGATATTTCCCCTGTATTATATTCCCATTGACGCGTTTAATTACAAATCTAATCTCTCATTTTTTTTTCTTCCGCTGAGATCGACGGGGCTTTCCCCGTATTTTATTTTTACATTTTATTGTATTTTTATATTTTATATTTTGCTACGACGAAGATATTTCTTTCTGAAAGACGTCGTCTTGTTATTCTATTCTTACGAATAGCACATCGTTTTAAAATTTAGAATTAAAAATACAATATTTGATTCTTTTTAACTCGTTGATTCTGGAGCCAGCATCGGTTTCTTGTAGAAAATACGTAATTTCGTTTGGTGATCGGAAAGAAAAACTCGTGTAGTATATTTTTATGACAGACTTTTAAATTTGTTATACGTCATCTTGAAAAACATATCTTTTACGCGAAAAAAAGAAGATGAGATAGCGCATGGAAAATTACCATCGACTCCCATGGCCATTGATTCAGCAGCTGTGCGTGGCGAGCTAAAATTGCCGATAATAACTCGGGGGACACGATTTGCGTCATTTACAGACGATGATTGTGCTCCGTGCTCCGTAAGTTACGTACGCGTGCCGGATTAAATCAATTAAAACATAACTAACTAAGAGTCTCATGTAAATATTGCCCTTGCGGGTTTCTATACCGAATTGTAACTGCGTATCTTCGCGTAATTAAATTCTGGCTTCGAAATGTAATTTTCCCCATCGATGAAAGTTCTAGTTTTACCTCTATTCCCAGACCCACATAATGATCCCAGGATGAAAGAGGATAGATTGGTAAAAAAAAAGTGAGTTTCCGAGGAAAACAGAATTTGCTTCTGCCGCAGCTCTGGGAGCAGCAGAAACAGCTGGAGGAGCAAAGACGAGAGAAGGAGAGGCTCGAGGCTCTCAGGAAGAAAGATAAGCACGATCACAGCGCGAACGCGTCCACGGAAGTCAAGGAACGCCTTCATGTAAGTTAGTAGTTTTTTTTTTTTTTTATTTTCTTGGTCATAATACAAATTTCTTGCATTTTTTAATCGCGAGTGATGACGATTGTAAATTTGTGCAAGAGTTAAATAATTTTCTCGTTTCTTTAATTTTACATATCTATCATTATAGGAAAATATCGTTTATAAACAATTATCTTAATAAAAATAAAAGAAATAGACAAATTTGATTTCGCAAATCATGCAAATGAGTTTTCATTTCTTATGTTTACATAATGTTTTCAATTTGTCTAAAAGTTTTATCTTTATTTAAGTCGGAGCGAAGGCTAGTCCTTTATGAGCTCTCGATCCATCCAGTTATATCGATTTTCCGAATTCTCACGCGAGTTTTACTATTTTCCATTTACAAGGCATTTGTGATTACAGAGCTTCCTGGTGAACAAGAAGCAAAGAGAGGCAGCCGCCGCGGCGAATGGAGCGGTACCCGGCACGCCCGGATACAGGAGCTGGTAAGATGTGCAATCAAAGCATGTAGATTGTAATAGAATGGAAATGATCAAACCGTGGGATATTTTAGAGAAGTGCTTCTCGTAAACTTATGTGAAAAAAGAAAGATCAATCTTTCCATGACTATGGGCAATCTGAACATGAGCGACTTTTCAAAGTAGATCTCGTATTTGCGCTTGAATTTATAACATTCCATTCTAATTTCAAGCAGATTCTACTTTCATAGAATTTCTCAAAGTTTAATTGCGCTTTGTTTGAGGTTGATCATTCCATTAAAATTCAAATTTCTAGGCATTTTCTTTTAAATCAGAAAAAATATGTAGACGTGTAGATAATGTGGCGTATTTTTAATGGTCCATTCATTATTTGATATTAAATATAAATGTAATATATTTAAAAACAATATATTTAAACATCCAGATAAATATAGATAAACTTAATTTTACCTTTCATTTGTATACGTATCAAAATACTTTTTATTGTTTGTATATTTCTGGAATTGGAATTGAAGCTAAAATATTTATGTTTTCTTCCTTCTATCTCGAAAACAATTATATTTCAGAGATTATATTACAGAGATTATATTGGTTTATCATTACAATAACTCGAGCTAAAGAAAGCTTTTCTTATTCTCGATAAGAGAGATTTGATCGGTAAAACTCGCTATAAAAATTTCTCAAAATTTGCCTGTCGTTTTGGTTTTAACGGGGCATCGCGATCGTCGTTAGTAGTCTTCTTCGCCGCTGACGAAGTAACGGTAATAGCACAACCTGGCCCAGTTATCCATTTAGCAACGGCCGATGTGTTCTCGACGTTATTTCCTTGTCCCTGCCAATGATAACTCCGTCTGAAACGTCTGTATGCAATGTTCAAAATGTGAAATGTGTATTTTTTCACTCAAGTTCTCGAGAAATTGTCAGAAACATTTATTTCCAGCTTGCGAAAATGACATCACAAGTTATACATAAATCAGATAATATTCAATTCGGTAAATAAATTCGGAATTTTAACGTCGTTTTAAATAATTTATTAAAAAATATGTTTTCGCGCGTGTAAAAATCGTGTAAAAATAGCATTGGAGATATATTAATTTGAAAGGATGAAATAGTGCAAAAAACGTGCAAAAGTTTTATGTATAGAAAAATTATTACTATAATTTTATTTGATATTAAAATGATTAACCTAATATGTTTGCATCTATTTTATCTGATTATTTGCAATTGTAATAATAAGAAATTTTATTTAATATCCAAAGTTCTAACACAATTTAAAAAATTGAGAATTTTTTGTATTATGTGAGACACATCTTTTCAACTTTTTACTCTCTTATCAATCATTCTTTAGCTGAATATTAATGATTTATTATAAATCGGTATCTCGAATTTTTCTTCATCTAGGCTACAACCACAGTCGGAATCATCGAGTACTTCGAATGCGGCACATCCATACCAAATGCCGCAGATGCTCCAAAAGTTCGGCGACGACTTCCCACTTAGGAAAACAGGTAATTGTCCCGGGACGTGTTAGCTAACTTATGCATACTTCGTACAGGTAGTTTGTGTGCAAATAGAATGTCTACTAAAGCATGGTGTTTCGCTGTTCGAGAAACGAGTTGAATCCCAAAAAAGCAGCTTACGCGTCGACGCGATGTTTGCTTTCGTTAATCACGATTTATCTGTGAATATGAAAAAAAAAAAGAAAAAGACGATAATTTTTCTCGACAAAATTCGCTCGATCGGATTATCCACGGAATGCGCACACGACAAGTCGATACGTTTCGTTTAACGAATAAAATACAAGTAAATTATCGATTAGTTTCTATAAAAAATATGTTATAAATACACGTGATACATTTAATTTATTAAATGTCTGCCTGGTCTTAACAAAAATGAAAAAAAGAAATGAACCTGTCCGGCTTGACTGGCTTTCTCTAATGCGCACAACTTGTAATTTACAACAACCATTAGGCCGACGAATCGCTAATTAACGTGCGCATTCTTTTGACTGATACACACTTATTTACGCGAAAAAAAGCGTCGATATATAAAACGTATGCGAACTCTGTACATGGACAGAAATATTTACAATATATACGATGAGGAAAGCATGTACAGTTGGCCTTGTTCTCTCAACAGTTCTTGTTTATCGTTTAAAAATAGAATTACTATTTCTTATATAACCTGCGTTAAAGAGATAGATGCATGAGTCTCACGAGTTTGCGTAACTGAAAAATTAATTAGATATGAAGTTTTGTAAAAAATATGATATTATTATATATTGAAACTATACACGTTTCCAGAAAACTTTAACAGATACGTTTATGTTTAGTTTTTTTATTATAATATAGTATATTTTAATATATATTTGTATCTGTTTTTTTTTTCACATAAAATGTTTTTAACTCAAAAAAACATCTATAGTATCAACAATTTCATCTACTTGTAAGAAAATAAAAAAAATTTTTATCTTTTAACTGGTTAAATATAAGGAATTTAGCAATTTCTAAAGCTCTAAAGCTTCTAAAGCAATTTTAAATTTCATATTTCATTTTAATGATGTAAAATCTTAATGCTATCTTTTTTCTTAACATAGATTGAAATTTTACATAATTTACGAGAGACTTCCATTTTCATTATCTCGTAGAGTTTTGTTCGGACACATTTGAAGAATAAAAGTTAGAAATACCATCTCTACTAAATTTAAAAAAAAAAAAAAAAAGAAATACAGATCGTATATCGTAAAAATATCTATTATCTCAATATATCGCAGATTGTTTGACATCTTGACTTCCGTTTAATACGTTAACTAAATAAACGAGACTTTTGCAAATGTGACAAATGTCAATACTTTCTTCGTTTATTCGTCTCAAAGTATCATTTTTGATATTTAACCGAGACTGACATTTAGCCGCTTCGACTTCCACTCTTCAATTACAAGTCGCGCGTGTTATTAATTATTCGCCGCTTGTCCGGGCGAGTGTCACGGGGCGGTCTCTTTATAGAAATCCCTTTGGCGAGCTTCTTTCGCGATACATGCGCGCCGGTAAACCGATAATACGAGCGAGCGAACGCGAAATGTGAAACGGCGGGGTCGTCATGTGTCGTGTTCTTTGCCTTCCCCCCCGTCCCCTTTCCTCCTCCCGCCCCCTACTTCGGTATGACAATGACCAACTAACAACCGGCTGAAAACTTGGCCAGCCTCGGAGCCGAACTTGCTGAAGGTGCGACTAAAACAACGCGTGGAGAGGAACATGGCAGCGTTGAGAAATTCACCCCTGACGACACGCCGGAAGGACCGCCTGGCGTCGCACCTCAAGCGGAAGTCATTACTAGCAAGTACGTTCCTCTCTCTTTCTCTCTCTCTCTCTCACACATACACGCGCGCAAACCTCCTCCGAGAGGACTCTACTCTAGAGTATCCTAAAACGAGAGTTCTCTATCTTCCTCTAAAGCGAGCAAAATTATTACCTACACACATCTACCTTTCATTTTTCTTTCTTTTTCTCTTTCTTTTTTCTCTCTCTCTTTCTCTCGTTGCACCCGAGTGTGTTCAATTAATTGACTGTTGAATTTTTTGATGTTTGCTACTCACTCTCCTATAACCGCATGAACGAAACGTTACTCTCCTATTAACATATATGTAAATTAGCGCTAAAAACAGTCCGGGAATATTTGAGTGAGTCGCCGCTGACGAGGTGCTCCCCAAATAACGCGGCGGATCGGAGAGGCTAAAGATTCACTTTCGGACACACTTTTAAATTGGATTGTGTCATTTGGGTCGGTTCCTCGTGCATCGTCACGGTCGAAATTTACATACACGTGTTACACACGGCGGCGGGTGTGGGGGGAGTCGATTTATTTTCGGAGGATTATTATCATGTCGTACGTCCGTCCTCTTCGTTCGCGCAGTTTGCAAGTACAATTTTCAAACGCGCGATCATCATCCGTGTGTTTCGTATACGTTCTTGCACAACGAGGCGACACATGTTCCTCCCTCTCCTTCTCGGGGATCCCGACGTACTAATTGTACGTTTTTCAGACCCTGGCAGCAATCCCGAGTCCGGGCCTAATTCTCCTCCGACCGTGAACAATTCTCAAGCCAGTCCCACCGCTGGAAGCAACACAGCGATACAGGAAGTAAGCCTCGACGATATTCGTTGCCACGATTTTTTCATGTTTTATATACACAAAAACTTACACTTCGCTCTGATCTATTGCAGGAAGGTGAAAATCCGGCGTACGGAGGACGTCTTACTAGCAGTAGTCAACAGGGTAGCCTTTCTGATCTTTCTCTCTTCAGTTCACCGTCCATGCCTAACATCTCGTTGGGCAGACCCCACGTGCCATCGAGCTCATCGGTAAATAAACTCTTTATCAGAAACTTTTTCTAGTTACGATCTGCACGATGTAGTACAGCAATACAACTTTTATCATTTCTTCTAAGATATATGTTTAAATATACATGATTCTTCCATATTTGTCAAAAACTTTTAATGTGATGTGATCCAATTTCTTTTTATATATAATATTGTTTAAATATAAATAAAACTTTTCTTCTCACTTATCTTTTCACTTATGGACTTTTCCAGGTTAAAATAAGTTTCTTTTTAGTAAATATTTTATTGGATTTCTAAATAAAAATTTCTTTTTAAATTTAAGTATCTCTTGTATCATCGAAACAAGTGATATTTAAATTTAAAGAGAGATTTTTTTTTATAAAACATTTGAATTAAAAAAAATTTATTTGTAATATTTTGTATAAATTTTAAAAATCGAAATTTTTCAATCATTAAGAATAATAATAGTTTCTAATATTCTCATTTAAAAAAATGTTAATTTGAAATTTTAGACAAAAAAGAAAATCGAAGAATTGACTTTTTTCATAAAATAAAGAATTTATTTTTATCAAATAAATATTGGAAGAAGAAATAGTGGAAGACGATTGGGTATGCTTGACATTAAAGTTATTTATTACGTTAACTCTGTAGAGTCGTACGCCATTAAGATGATAGATAACGTCGATAATTTTAGAACCTTCCCAAGTGTTTGACCGACACACATTGGGCTGTTCTCTGTTTATAGAGTGGCACAAAATTGGCGCCGGTTTCGGAAGCGGAAGTGCGTGCCGCGTTCACGGCACGCCTCGGCATGCCGCTCACCGGTCAGATGCTGCACGGCACCCTGCCGTTCTATCCGTCCCTGACGGTCATCGAGGGCGAGCCGGCATACATCCATAAGCAGATACAACAAAATTTACAGGAGCAGACAGCACCACCGTCCGCGGGGGTAGGCGGCAACAGGCAGCATCCGGCATCGGCAACGGTATATCATACCGCGGCGCCTATTACGGATACACAAGTAGCGCACGCGAGACTGCAAAAGGCTGGTCATCACCGGCCTTTAGGTAGTATGTTCCCTCTTTGTCTTCGTAGAAGCCCTTGTGCGCGTGCCCTGTTCCAATGGAAAATAGTCTCTACCGAGAAAAGCAGCTCTGAAAGCTAGACTGAGTTCAATCCAAAGAGACCATTCCTGCACGAAACATAGCACGCGTTGTTCAGTAATCCCTTGTTAACAATCCTGTGTCAGACCCAAACGTTTCACGCGCATATTCTTTTTTTTTTTCATATAGGTAGGACCCAATCTGCGCCACTACCGCTAGGTCATCCAATGCTGCAGGGCGGCATAATCGCACCAACTACACACTTTGAGGAATATCTAGCGGAGAAGCAACTGCATGATCAGCAACAAGCGCACAATTACCTGAAGCAGCAAATCCGTCAGACAGTGCTGACGCGAGTAGGTTCGCGCAGCCAGACCAATCAACTGGATGAAGCACCAGAGTCCGAAGAGTCCGAGGTGATAGATCTCACAGGCAAAAAGGATCATCCGGAAGAGAGTGAGATCTCGAAGCAGCAGAGAGACCGCGAACAGTTCCTGCAGCAACAGAGAGATCTCATGATGAGACACACGTTACAGACAAACGAATCGACCGTCTATGCTGGAGGTCTAAGTAGGACTCCTCAATCGGCCAGGCCGCTTTCGAGAGCGTTGTCGAGTCCTCTAGTACATTTAGGTAATTTTAACTCTCTGTTATCATCAATGCGATAACGCGATATATAAAGTATCTTGTATTTAATTATGATTTTTGACACTTTTGATAAAGTATGGTTTTACTTGATGTATTTGGACTTTTGCATTTGTTTCCAATATTGTATCGAATTTGTATGACACAAATGTTTTTTTAGATATTTTTTAATAAGAAACATAGAATATAAACTAGAAAAATGAAAAAAATATGCGTAAATCCAATTTAATTTTCAAAGAATTAGTCCATATTTTTTATGAAATATTTTATTCTCTAAGGTCCTCAAGGTAGCGGTGGCGACATTTTCGCGAGAGGTACTTCGCATCGGCCCACTACGGGATTAGCTTATGATCCACTGATGTTGAAACATGCATGTGTTTGCGGCGAAACAGTTAGAGGTCATCCTGAACATGGTGGCCGATTGCAAAGCGTGTGGGCCAGACTGTCAGAGACAGGCCTGCTGCAACGTTGTGACCGAGTACGCTCGCGCAAGGCCACACTTGAAGAGATTCAAACATGCCACAGTGAGGCTCATGCACTTCTATTTGGTAAGTCTTGTTTCTTCTATGTCATTTTAGCTTTGTTAAGCAAATAATTAAAATTAAGATAAAACTGATAGCTTTAACATAGAATTTACTCTAAAAAATTAGGAATATTTTTTAAAAATTTTAACAAATATTGTATAATTTTTCTTAATTTTAAACTTGTTCTTGTTTGCCATTTTTAAAAGTGAAGCAATAGCAATTTTTTTTACTTTTTTTATAGTTATTGAACAATATGTTATAATTATTTTTAAATTAAATTCTTATTAAATTGATAATCATTATCAACGTCCTATAATTACTGTCGATATGGAATAAGCTATAATATAAAAACATTTTTAAATAATAATCTTGGATTTTAAATTGTAGAATAATTTGCCAAGAAACGGTGATATCAATTTGATTTTATAATGTACGCAGGAACAAATCCGTTGAATCGACAGAAATTGGATATGTCCAAGCTGTCGCAGCTGCCTATGAAGAGCTTCGTCCGACTTCCCTGCGGTGGAGTTGGCGTTGATTCTGATACAACGTGGAACGAGCTTAACACTGCACCCGCTGCCCGAATGGCAGTGGGATGTGTTGTCGATCTTGCATTCAAGGCGGCAATGGGCGATATTAAGAACGGTTTCGCTGTGGTGAGACCACCTGGACATCACGCCGAGACCAATCAGGCCATGGGTTTTTGTTTCTTCAATTCAGTAGCGATTGCAGCAAGGCTGCTTCAACAGAAACTCGACGTTAGAAAAATTTTAATCTTAGATTGGGTACGAATCATCATAATTCTACAACGTCATTTCTGTGCCATACAATAAGA